ATTAAGAATGATGTTGGCCACTGGTTTTGCATAGATACCCTTTATTATGTTGAGAAATTTCCCTTCTATACCTATTTTATTGAGAGTTTTTATCAGGAATTGGTGTTGGACTTTGTCAAATGCCTTTTCTGTATCAATTAAGATGATCATGTGATTCTTTTCTTTCGTTTTATTTATGTGGTGGATTACATTGATTGATTTTCTAATGTTGAACCATCCTTGCATACCTGTTATAATCCTACTTGGTCGTGGAATAGCACCGTCTTTTACGAGTTCATTTTACAGTTCTGTCTCAGCTCCTCTTCTCCTGTGAGCAAGTGCTCAAACAAAAACACACTCTCTCTCTCCCCATGGAAGAGAGGCTGCAAAGGGGTGGCCTGCATTTTGCATTCTGTGTGCAGCTGTATTTTGTTCAATCCATTCAGCATTAAAAAAAAAATTGCATCCATATTTTGAAATTTGGGAGATTTCATCAGATATCCAGGTATCTACAAGACCTGACACTACCTAGCAGAGATTCCCACTGGATGGACATTGGCTAGAACAGGGGTCAGGGCTCACCCTGTCACCAGTGTCCCCACCTCAATGGGAGAATCCAGTCACCACTTACCATCATGCCCGCAAAGCTGTTTTTTCTTAGAGACATAGTTGTTTGAACTCATGCCTCTATTGAAAGAGGGAACCAAAAGGTAGGATGTGGGGACCATGTGGTTCCAGAATAGTAGAGGAGAACATAGTCCTTTGTGAAAAGTCAGTTATATTTGTATGTATTGAAAATGCAAAATGTGTCTTTGCCAATCAGGGATGAGAAGGCAGAAGGGGACAGGAAAGCTGGTAATGGGGAATTCAATTCCAGAAAGGGGGGGTGTTGATATGTCATGGGGTTGGCAACCAATGTCACAAAACAATATGTGTATTAATTGTTTCACGAGAAACTGATTTTCTCTGTAAACCATCATCTAAAGTACAACTAAAAAAAAAGAAAAAAAAGTGTCTTTGCCGAAAAAGACAGCTTCAAAAAATTAAAGAACTACAACTGTTACATAGAAAAGACACACAATGAAAACTTTACTAGCTGAAGGAACTAGGATTTCCACAGGGTTAATTTCTGAATGCAAGTAAAAGACGCCGTAGTGAAAAAAATGTCATAAAAACTTTTACAGACGATGAATTTCTGAAAGACTGTCTATGGAGTGAAGCAAAAATTATATGACTTACACAGAATTAAACATTCACAAATATATCCCAGCCAGAAATACTGTTGCTCAGAAGATTGAGAATGGCTGAGAACTTTCTAGAGAAAAACTACATAATCTGTGATGTTTTCTATTACAGCTGTTCAAAGCAAAGATATAAATAATAATTCCAGCAAGTTAGAATACTGTCTTGTAGTATTGATGAAAAATTTTATATAACCATTGAATGTATTAAAATGGTGCCCATAGCATAACATCAAGAAATAACTTATTTTTGTGTACTAAGAAGAGCCTTGTGGAACAGTGAGATTAGTGATGTGACTCGAGAGAAATTCTGTGATGGTGCTTGTTAAGGTCAGACGTGTAGATGAACTTAAAGCTGTTGAGGGAACATTTCTCAATGGCGAGGAGCTGAAGTCTGCTGCATCATTCACCAGGAAGCACAGTGTGCTAAAATACTCATGGATGTGGTCATTCACACAATATACCAGACATGCCCCAATGTCTGGAACCTCGGAGTATTCAATATTTTCAATGATGAGTTGGATTCACAACTCGATATTCTGTTGTCCTCCAAGCACACGCTAAACGACATTTGTTGTTATCAGGCGCCGTCAAGTGTGTTCCGACCCTATGTACAAAGGAACGAAACACTACCCGGTCCTGCGCCATCCTCACAATCGTGCTTGAGCCCACTGTTGCAGCCACTGTGTCAATCCATCTTGTCGAGGGTCTTCTTCTTTTTCGCTGACCCTCTGCTTTACCAAGCGTGATGTCCTTTTCCAGGGACTGGTCCCTCCTGATAACATGTCCACAGTATGTGAGATGAAGTCTCACCATCCTTACTTCTAATGTGCATTCTGGCTGTACTTCTTCCAAGACAGCATTAGAAATGAACAAAAGGAATACAGACAAGCCCCCCTCCCGCCCCCAAAAGAAAGAAACCCACTGCTGTTGAGTCAATTCTGACTCATAGTGACCCTATAGGACAGAGTAGGACTGCCCCATGGAGTTTCTAAGGAGCACCTGGTGGATTT